AGTAACCCACTTGTAACCTACTGTACAGCAGAGCGACATACACGACTTACCCGCTTTTTACATTTTAAAATTATTTTTAAGCGTAAAATTTACAATAAATTTCGGATAATTCCTCGTACTGGATCAAACTCCAGCCGCCTTCTTTTGTAATTCGGGCTTTTCAAGTGTTTACTTAAAATTGTCAGGGCTTTTAGCCAACAACACATCCAATCAAACTGTGAATGTATCAGGTCGATAGCGTTGTTCTATGATTTTTAATTTTAATTTATAAAACTGAAATGTACATAAGTGCCGGGTAATCTGTGAAGATCCAACTGTGGYTACAGCGTCTTTGATATTTATACGTGCAACTACCATAATAGCTTATACTTCTTATAGATTACAACATGTGGTTGTACAAATTTTCATACATTTTTATACAAACAGAAACCATCAARCCGGGGTAAGGTACGCACCGTAGACCGAATCATCACATTATTTAATAATTTATACAATTTGTGAAAATATTTACACACGAATATCTCAATAAATTCTGATATAAGGAGGTTTCCAATTTTCCCCTCCCATAAAACTATGGTGTTTTTTTTTATCCTCTCTTTCATAAGTCATGTCTACGTCACTTGCCTTAATGGTAACGCGTATGATAATAATATGTATTATAAATCTGAGTAAAACTATAAAATAATATATTGACCAACATCATGTTTATGCGTAATCACAGGAAAGTCAAGGGATTCCGGAGGATAGTGTACTCTGTGTACCAGTATCCGGAGTTGTTAGACTCGAGCAACATGTGCATGCGCGATTGGCGGAGCATAGCTGAAGACATATGGGTATGTTATATATATGTGATATTATAATTATTTATCTGTATTAATAACTTTGTCTCATGGTTTATGGGTTGATGGCTAAAACTTGAGTGTAAATACTAACTAAATAGTGACTCGTGAGAAAGTAGGGTTTTCAGTCAGAAATTCAATACATTGCAGTTGATCGGATCCCAGGAGGGGCTCTATTTTCGAAGAAACCGAAAACAGATGTTCAGTCGACTACGCGCGAAGTATTAATTAATCTCAACCTTTTTACGCGACCGTTTTCATCTGATTATTAGGGAGATGGTATTTTGCGCCAATTTAATTACCTGTAATTTACGCCATCAAAAAGTACAATTAAGGGCGTATGTAATATGCGCCAAAATATAAAAATATAATATGTATTTTGCGCCACACTTTCAACTTCAATATTGTTGGAATTTACTGGCAGATAAATTTACTGATATCGCATAGGATATACAATAATACGCACGTGTGTCAAATTTAATATTGTTGTGTTCTACTGATAATAGAGACATATCGTCTCTATTAGACGTAATCGATCTCCAATTACGTCTAATCTAATGAAATCATCAACTTAGATCAAAATTAAAAGTATACATCTCAAAAAACGAAATTCTACTAAAAATAAAATTCGTTTGGAAACTTTTCAACAAATATATGAAGACTACAGACAAAATAAAATTGACAGAAAAGGCTTAGTTTCGTCATTGAGCTATAAATATTAAAAAAACGTGAGTAAGCTAGGTATTTAAAAAATTATATGTTATATTACGAAAATTTCTTATTATTATACACGGAATTCGTTTTACTTGTATACATTTATTTATAATTATTACATTATGACTGATTTTTTTATATTTTATTACTAAAAGAAAATTTCTTATTATTATACACGGAATTCGTTTTACTTGTATACATTTATTTATAATTATTACATTATGACTGATTTTTTTATATTTTATTACTAAAAGAAAATTTCTTATTATTATACATGGAATTYGTTTTACTTGTGGCGCTAATTACAATTTCAATAAGGTGAATTATGGTGCATATTACAGTTTTTGTAGGTAAACGATGGCGCAGATTACATATTGCCTTTTTATTTAGTTTTATTTGGCGCAAATTACCAAAATACAATTTTAGATGTGGTGCAAATTACATATTTATTTATTTWTTTTTTTTGTTTTTGGCGCAAATAAAATACGCCCGATTATTATAATACATTATATATTATGTGCACGATTCCAAACGTGTTCTACGTGGACCTTATTATATATTTTGAATGAAACGAGTTGTATAATATGTCGTCTGCTGCTGGGATCGTCAACAGTCTGTATCCGTTATGGCATCAAATAGTCTCACTGACTCATCGTATAAGGCAGGCATTGTTTTAATACTACAGGTACTTAATAAGGTAGAATTCTTAAATCGGACAAAAGAAAGTAGAAAAAGTTCATTTGACATGACAAATCTGCTTATATTGTACTATTTTTTTTTTTCATTGTAAATGTTATAAAAAATTATAACACAACAAAGATTTTTTTCGTGGGTTTTTTTATACGATTTCGTCAAATAATATCGAAATTAATACTTTTTGATTTTGATAATTATTTCTCTTCGTCCCAAACATTGATGCAATTAGAATCAAATTTCACTTGAAAATGGGAATGGACACCACTCCATAAATCAATTTGTGAAAATTTAATGCAGCTTGTGTCTACGTTCTGCTTATAAATGTCCCTTAAAGTTCACTATTTACACAACTGCATAATCGTATTTCACAATTTATGATCCCATCAATCATCGGACACCAACATCTTACTTTAAATAGGAAAGAGTCGTTATGAAATTAAACATGCTTATCAGTTATCACCATATATAAATCTTAACATTCAACACATACAATTTTTGATCTATTCTGAGAACAGACACTTCATCACARTATGAAAAATGTATAACGATGACAAAATTCTATAGGGTTAAAATATTATTATATTGACAGTATAATGTATTGCAGCAAGCGTATGAACTGTACGATGGATTCGTCGTGTTGCACGGCACTGATACGTTGGCTTACACTGCGTCCGCACTGTCGTTCATGTTCGAGAATCTCGGCAAGACCATTATCATCACGGGTGCTCAGGTAATAAATTATTACTATTAGGTATTAGGCGAATCAGCTTTTCAAATTATTCATTTCATCCCACTCCCCAATTATTTAAATAAAATATAACGTTTTATTCAGTTAGGTAGTCATTACAWTACTCGAATTAATTTTTTAGATGTTTTTAGGACCCTCTACCCCCTCGGAATTCTGAACTCTACTATAGAAAACCTAAGTTGTAATATTGCATTATAACTTATAACAATGTAATTTCTTAATCGTTGGACGGTTTGTTGAATTTATTTAGTTGCCGGTGTTTGACTTGCGAAGCGACGGAAGCGACAACTTCGTCACCAGTTTGTTGATGGCTGGTAACTATTGTATCCCTGAGGTGACGATTCTGTTTCATAACAAACTTTTGCGCGGCAACCGTACTGTCAAGGTGGACTGCGAGAGTTTTGCCGCGTTCGACTCACCAAATTTAGCACCACTGGCTGTCATCGGGATTGACATCAATGGTACTCTTTTATAATATCTGAAATATTCAAATATATATGATGTAATACTCATGACCATGATGTTTATGTGACCATATGTTTTCACATATCAACATAATATTAAAATGTTAAGGTTATAGATATTTAACTCACATTAAAATTAATAATAATAATTCTAACTGAGGTGTCTTAGATAATATTCTTGTCTTTACGTTTTTTGATAGATCAATTATTATTACCTATCTATTATTCTAATATTTAAGTGAACACAAGCAAACCTTAATAAGCTTAACCTTATTTAATACGTATTAAATGTATTTTGACACAATATATTAAAACAATAGAACCAGATAGAAGAGGATTTATTATCTTTAAAGTATATTAATATGATATAYATACCTAATTAGTTCAAAGTTAGATTTTCGTAAAATTTTAYTTGTACTTACGGGTACTTCAAATCATATAAAAATATTCTTTTTCTTTAAAAACACAATAATTGTTTGAGCGAATGAAAGTTGTACGTTACTCAAATCAACCCCCAAACGGCCGAAGAAATCATCTGGTCACGGTGTGTGACACACTATTGCCGACCATCAACAGCCGATCAATGTAATGATAAATTCAATGTGTTTAAGAAATATAAAGTTATTTTAACGATTATCTATAAAATATGACATAGYCATAGCATGAACAAATTATTATTTTTTTGACATAGAATTAATAACTACAATATTATACTATTTTATACCTATACTCACTGAAAAATGTCAAATTTTCCGTGGGTTCACAATCACATACAATGAAGTATCCCTCTTTCGGCTTCTCCGATGACTGGCAACCAAATATTACGCAGCGGGTGTCAGACGCAAATACAAAATCAATAAAAATTTGAATCAATTCTAATCTGTTTGTTTTAAACTTACGTGGTATGTTTCATGATACACCATCATTGTTTCAATATCATCGCCATCCGTGTATTGGCACTGTAGTGTCGTTTAGACAGATCTTCCGGCCGAGGTCCATCGAAAAGTTTACAGTTCACCTACAACTCGATGAGAACGTCAGTTTACTGCGGATTTTCCCCAACATTACAGCTGACACGGTACACAATAGTTATAATTTATGGAATACACTATTGCGATATCATAACCCTCGTCATCGTRCAAAAAGTGGTCATAGAAGTATCATAAAAGCGGTATTATAAGTATACATATTTTGTGCTATGGTAATGGTGCTATGCCATTTTTTTGAGATGTTTAATAAAAAGTATAAATAATCAAGATGTATTAATATTCACGTAACAATAATAATTTAATTTAATCGAATACTTATTCTAACTCTTGGCCACTTTTTGCGGTACGACGTAGCATATCTTATCATATTACATTAACGTCAACTCAATGAGTTTGTCTTGTACCGACGTCAATATTACGATAATATTATGTTATTTATTCACACTTTACCATGTGTGTGGTGATACAGGTCCGTACGTTTCTGCAGCCACCCATCCGAGGTGTGGTACTTCAAACCTATGGAGCTGGAAACTTGCCTGGCAACCGCTCCGACATCATGGCCGAGTTAAAGGCCGCCACCGATCGTGGCGTCATCGTGTTCAACTGCAGTCAGTGCTTCAAGGGATCAGTGACGGCCGTATACCAAACCGGGCATGTACGTACATATAATATTATTTATTTATTTTAATATTAAACCGGAGCCACYCATTTCATAACAATAGTGGATTAGTTGATTAGTGGGTTAATTTAACTGTTGCCTAAACAAAACATTTTAAAACGGCAACTGATCACTGTTTTTATTTTATTTTGTATGCACCTACAAATAGGTACTGAACCAAGTTGGTGTCATATCGGGCAACGACATCACTCCCGAAGCGGCACTCGCCAAACTCTCTTATGTACTATCTAAGGACGACTGGGACCTGAGCACCAAGCGAATGGTAAATACACAAATACAAATGATCATATTTATTCATATTCTATCTATACTGATATATGAAGATGTAAAATGTATTTGAATATGTTGGCTGTAGGGAGAACCGATTATAAATATTATTTTATTAATAGAAATCTATCTCTGGACCAAAATGTTTTTATTTATCAATTTTTAAATTATTGTTTTCGTTATTTAAATGTGAAACATAAGGCAATTATATACTTGTAGCTTTATACACTCTAAAAAGAGTCACTTATTTTAAGGATAGTTTCAAAGATTGTTCTTAAAGTTATCAGAATAGTTTGATCACAAAGYTAGGTACAGTGATTTATTGTGCAGTATTTTATGTTAGTTCATTTTTTATTTACTATACTATACTACAATTGCCTAAATATTGTAAAATTATGTAGATGCTTGGAGCAAATCTGAGGGGTGAGATGAGCGGTGGACCGCCAAAACCACCACGGAAAAACCACGCGGCGGACGAGTGGGATCTTGTAGACGCGGTGGCCCGCACTCTGTTGCACGTGAACGGATCGCAAGAGTTGACCGCGCTCGGGGGTGTCCTGTTCCCAGCAATGCTTGGAAACGCCGTCGCTCGTTCCGACTTGAATAAGCTGGACGAGCTCAAAGGCTTCGTGAGTATATATTATATTTGATGCATTCAGAAACCGATCTTATTTTTCTATATCAATGATATTTTAATGCCATCACTTATATATTGTAATAAACAAAATAGCACGCCTTGTTTATTTAATTTTTTTCTAACCTTTTTAATCAAATAGATTGTCTATAAATATCTGTCCGTGTTATTTATGTAACCATATAGGTATGCCGAACATTAGACTGCAAGTTGGTCATGCTCTTGAAAATATCCAAAAAACGGAACAAATCAAGTTTTACTACTACTATTTACCACTCTCTTATCTTTTTGTAACAATTTTTTCATATCACGTAAGGTGTATTGATTTCAAAATRTTTCATTWTATGTTTTTCAGGGAGCTGACTTTTCTGCTCAAAACGCTGACGGTCGTACAGCCTTGCACTTGGCGTGCGCCTTGGGAGACGTCCGCATCGTCCGATACCTATTGTTGAATGGAGCCAGCGTACATATTAAAGACCAGTAAGTAGTCAAAAAAAAAATATATTAATAATATAAAGTATTATATAGTATACTGTAGTTTTATAACAAAGTACTCACAGCTATCCCTTATACATATAAGCACTAAACCAYTTTCGACCCTCCCTCCAACTGTACCAATTATATCACTGAGGCGCGATCGCAACGAAGTAGGTAATAATATAGAATTTGAATAGATACTATATATTTTACTTGTTTACCAATATTTTGCTTTTACTCGTGTTTTAGATTTGACAGGACACCGCTGATCGACGCCGTCGAAAACGACCGAAATGACGTGGTGGCGCTTTTGCGAAGGTGTGGTGCCCATCTAAACTCACCCGCCAAACATGTCGGCCAACAGCTGTGCAAGTGAGTGGCTGTTGGGGAATATTTACGTATAATACATCTATGGCATTATAGTAACCGCGATATAGGTACAATGTATCATTCGTAGGCTACWCTGCTGTCATAAGCCATTTGGCAGTAACTCCAAATAAAAGTGTACTAACTGCTTTTAATCTTCTGAATAACATTAGCGAAAAAGCAGTAAGTTCATTAAAACCAATAAAAATGTATCAAACAACTTTTTTTGTGTTCAATAGTTTCCTCATGAAAAATACAATAGCATACCATATTTTTAATGTTTAAAAAATTATTATTTTTACTCTGCGGTCTAATTTAGTATTAAAAACTGTTTTATTGTTTCCTGAAAACTCGTTTTCTGAAGTTACTGCTTATTGGCTTATGAGGCAGTAATGAACCATGACATTATAGCTGATTAGTTCTCACTTTTGATTCATTGAATATTCAGGGGTTGATTGRGCTCATCAGTCTGCGATTGTATAAATATAAGCTAATTTATTCTTATACATCTTTTAATCTTATCTTAAAACAAATTATAYATTAATAATATATTAATTATATATTTGTTTACATAACAAATCCGATCTGACGTCTGAAGGATTTTTTAAATCTGCCTAGATAGCATTTTAAGATAATAGTTTATTCAATGATATCTAGACGCGTGTATACAATTGTGTACAATTGTGCCAAACTGTGTTTTTATTTATCTCGTTGATTCCAACAGTGCCGCGACCAAGGGAAACTTGCAGAGACTGCGATCTTACGCTGCCGCTGGAGCTGACCCGTCTTCAGCCAAAGACATGTACGGCAGAACACCATTGCACGCAGTACGTATTATACTATCGTCGTAGCCAAATTTAACGGAAGGAAATTAGGGAGAAGGGTAATTGCCCCAAGGTAGCAACTTTAAGGTCATATTTTGAGTGGAGGCTGATTTTCAGGAAATATAATTGAACCCGTGCACTTTGCAGACTTGCAGTCCGTTAAGAATACTACTTCTTATATATTTCTACCTATRTGTTAAATTCGTTACYTGTGATTATGTTAGCAGTATATTTTTATACATAATACTCGTATATAAATAAATAACGGTATAATAAGTAATTATCTTACAACGATATTCAATTTAGTTAATCAGTATGTAATTTTATTTGTTTTTTTCGAGTAAGTCCAACAATTAGAGTATTCAATAGTGTGATATTTATTAAAGTGCCTTTGGATACACAATATTAAATATTACACGCGTAAATGTATACACGCGTCAAAAAATTTTTTTGTTCTTCTTTTCTGATGCGTACACAAATAAATCAGAAGGTTAGGTTAGAAGCTATGTGTCTATGTGAGAAGCACAGATTTTCCAAATTCATTCCACACACTTGTAACGATTGTCCTTGTGATTTGTTGATGGTGATTGCAAAGGCTTCAATAATTTTGTTCATCRACTTTTTCACTGAAAGTCTRGTACCGTTACAGAGTTGTGCTGGGTTGATATTTAAATCATAAAAGAATGATGGGCACGTCAAATTTCAATGTTAGAACGTGGAGTGACACGCCTGGAAAATTAAGTGAATTTAGAAATTCAGTTGGATATTTGACAACTTCGTCTTGATTCATTACAGTATTGATTTACTGGTACGTTGTCAAATTTAGTTTACAATAGTGATATTGGTTGTATTTACATCATAGTTTGGGCTGCCAACATAGCCCATACACTAAGCCACTGGTGGTTTCTGTAATTTTGTGGTAGATTTGTCAAAACTTCATTGTCAATTAACCCATTTGGTCGATGCTATTATTTTTCAGGAATTTTTTGGCAATGTGATGAATTGTGTTGATACATCAATAGCTAGTTTCCCATTCTCCATTTCCAGCAATTATTTTGCGAGCGAAACCATCGGCTGATGCATAATTTTGCAGATGTACACGGATATTTGTTTCATATTTCACATCGGTTTCCAATCTTGCATCTCCTTTCTCAGTTGTTTCAGATGAACGATATTGAGCATGACGTCCTATGGTGGTTCTCAATATTACATCTCTATGTTCGATTGTTTCTGAAGCTTATATTGCCATTTTCTTTCGTGCTTGAGGCATAAAACTACCGATCSATCTTTTTTTGTAAGTCATAACTGCATAAAAATGGCGTTATTATAAAAAAAACATACAAATYACAAAATATCAATAAAAAACTTTAATACCATTATAAAAACACGTGCCATGGAAACAAATAATAACAACTAATTCAGGAATAATAATGCCTTAATAGCAACCATCGCTAAATTCAAAATAAACAAAAATTTCCATCGTAAATCTCAAAATGTCTGTTCGAGCATCTCCCGGGGTTGGGCCTATCACTTTTTAACTTTTGTCTGTAATAACTAGATAATCTTTTCTCCTAGATCTAATATATTTCTATACCAAATTTCATCGCAATCGGTCCAGTTTTTTAAGAATGTATGAAGGATTAACAGACAGACAGAAATCCATTTTTTTTATATATATATATCAAATTATATTATTTGTCCTTAATTACAAATTTCATATTATATTTTTTAAATAATACAATAGTGTTGTGTTTATCATTCAATGAAATTATTAAATAATATATCAGATAAGCGAATTAATTTAAGCGGTGCAGCTTACAAAAAAAGTAGAAAAAAAGAAATAATATTACGAAGAATTACTTCAGACAATTTCAAATTTTCATTCTCTTTTCTCTGGGTCTAGGTCATTTTGGCACAGCCATTTTGTTACGGCTGTTTTAGCGTGGGACATATCGGCACTCGTCGTTTTGGTGCGAGGAAATTTCGGCGCGGCTTTTTTTTTTAAATACAATTATCAATAGTACAATCCAGTGATGTAATAATTATTATTAGGTGATGAAACGAAAAATAATGAAGAAAACAATATTATGTGCCTGAGCCTGAGTATAGAACTTGAATAGGCTAAACATTGAAACAAAAATATTCTTAAAACTTGATAATAATAATGATTTTGAATAGGCACCTATTTAATATGGACTATAGGTACCACATATACAATTAAGAAAAACGACTGTAATAAAATTGTCAATASTACAATCCAGTCGAATATAGCTGTCATCGTGTAACGTAAAAACCTACTAAATTGGTAAGATACAGGTACCTACAGCAGTTAAGATAAACCGTGTTTAGACGTGTAGTGCATCAACTGTAAAGCAATCGGTTTCATAGTTAAATAGTCGATCTGTCACAATTTTTGTACAAAAATTATTAATTTTAATTATTAAAATGTCTAATTTACTTTCAAGTCGTGATAATTGAAATTCGGTGGTTAGAATAGTCGTAATTTGTATTTCCTGTCTACCTATCGTTTTCTAATATGCACATTTCCCAAGCCCCACCCCGACGCGAWTATTTATTATTTCCAACATGTTTCCTCGACGTTGAACAAATATTGCAAACAGTTTAAKTTGAGATACTGATGGGGCTGTATACATATGTCGGTTACCCCCGAAGAACTTACGCCTAAGTCAAACGTGTACAAATTATGAAATCGGTYATGCAAATTCTCGCTAATTACTCAAGTTCTAATAATAACAAATTGCATAAACAAATCACACATATTTTATAATAGTTATCTAAATTAGTGTTTTGCAATCTATATGACCTACCTAACAGGAAAAGGTCTAAAAAGTGGATTTCCATTCACATTACTTTGGGAAATACAGGGTCTATGACTCTATGAGTAATATACTATATTATTATTTTATTATTTCCGTAAAGGCTGCGCTCACCAACCAAACGGAAGTGGTGGAGTATTTGTTGTCACTTCATGCGGCTGTCTTCGCGCTCGGACACGTGGAAGCCGGGCCTCCAGCTGACCTACTGGGTATCACTCCGGTAGACGTAGCTCGGGCGGCCGGTTACGCGAGTCTCGCCGAAAAAATCCAGCAGCACTTCAAAAATTGCAGCGAACGCGAACAAAAACGGTCGCGACAGCAGAATGGTGGTGGAGCGGAGCACAAAGTGGAAGCGTAACCCAATCTCTATTATTATAATACCTAACACGGGACTACTACTCCATGTAATTTACTTTTACGATTATTATTATTCCTACCACTATATCATTATTATTTTAATTATATTGTAAAATTATATCGTATAAAAAAGCGTAATAGTGTACATTATAATATTATATTTTTCTCCGTATTAGACAAATATTATAATATTATTTCTGTCGTATCATATAATAGCGCCCCCTAAGGTTTCGGCTTAAGTTAGGTTCCGGGCAATGGGCTTTTTTTAGCCACCACGTCTCGTCTCGTTTGCTCACTCACTTTCACTCTCTTTCTCTCTCATTCGTATTCTACGATTTCTACGACCTTATTTTGCTCTTATATTATTTCTTAGACCTCGGCGTTGACATTTGTTCCGATGTAACTAATAATCACTTATGTATAATATAACAACGCGTCTATCTTTAATATTATAATAATAAAATATTTTAATTTAAATGATTTTTGATTTTTGAATAAAAAGGTATTCGTTAATATTCTAACGTATAGGTACTCGTTCGATATATAAACCCTTGATATTTAACAAGGGACTGATGAKCCAAAAAATTCTTATCCTTAGATATACCTCACAGGCATAGGCGCAAATAGACAAATTATTTGGGGGGGACTAAAGCCCCTMCTATAATATTTTCTAAAAATTATATATGCTCAGTACTAATTACTGACTTTTGAACTGGAGGTACTAAGTCCCCCCAAGCCCCCACCTATTTGCGTCAATGCTCACAGGGTCGATAGGCAGATCCACAAGACCGCAGATAAATTACAACCGAATAGAGCTTTATGATAATTAATTTATGACGTAGGTGATGATGAGTAAAAATKTATAAAATACGTCTAATRAAATTGTTAATATTAATTGTTATATGTAACAGCGTGAATTGTACATTTTATGTTTATCATAATATTACTAATTATACATATATAATATTATTGTACCTATTATATTGCTATTATGATAACTGAGTGGATCTGAATTAATTTCGATTTATCGCTCGCCATTCATACATTGTAATATAATATTATGTAAATTAAAAACTATATATTTTATTGTACAATCATGTGTTTTTAATCAGATATGGATTATTCAAACGAACATAATATAATATTAATTTCCGTCTATAGCAATATGTTATGAATTATAGAAATGAGTGATAATATAATATTGTGTTTATTTTAGGTATGTAATACACTTATATAATGGACCTATATATACTATAGTAATTTACTATTAGTAACTACGTCATACATAGCATTCTCACTCGAAATRCGATGTATAATTATTACTATATAGTATGTACTTCGATCATCATTATAGGTACTAAAGCCACCAAGGTACCTACTTATAGGTTAATTGTAAATATACCTACAGGCATAGGCGCAACTAGAGGCCAAACACTAGGGGTGCTAAAATTATGTAGATGAAACAGACCAGTGGGGGCTATGCCCCCACACCTCAAGTTCCTACTTCAACTTTA